TTCGGAAATAACTGGTAGTGACTCGATAAAGTGATTAATTGATTTTTGAACGTCTTATTGAAGTCACATTTGGAAGCCATTGAGTGCTATCAATATCCTTATAGTCATCAATAATGTTAGATCCTATTAGTGGTCTGTGTTCGTTCATTTTATAGACATTTTTATTGCTCGTATGTCACAAGTTACAATTACAAATTGCTTTTAGAATTTAAGATACCGAATTCGTTCATCGCCTTTTACGCCATTGGTAAATCTAAAGTAATAAATTACCACAAATAATTTTATTAGAGGACTTGGTATATTCAAATGAATGCATCACCAATTGTGTCAACTTGTTTAACATCATCTCCACAATAGCCACAAGCCCAAGCTCCCACACAATGCTTTAGTTTCTCCTACACATCCCCGACATCTTAATAATTATAGACAAATATTCAAATAAGCTGAATTACAACGTCTAAATTGTCCGCAAATTGCAAGTTCCAAGCGACTATGGCTGGAATAATTTTAGCGCCGGAATAATTATCAAAATGAATTATTCAGTATCGAATATAATTCTCGGCGCTTGTGCTTTTAGTGAAATGTTACATAGCTAGGAGTAATATTTACTTTCAAAATAACTTGGGAGTTTCTTACCTTTGATAAATTAACTTTCATTACCTTAACAGATTCATGAATAAGTTTATCCTATTATATTTTTAGGTTATAATTTTGTTTTAGATTATGTATTAAACGTACAAACTATTGACAAGCTTAAAAATATTTACAATTAGATATTTCTATGTTATTTTAATCTATATTCATAAAACAGTAATGAAATTGCAAAATGTCAGATAACATAGTAACTTTTCCATATGATAATTGGTTATTGGCACTATTTTTAAAAACCCCGATAATTTTCTTAATGTTAACTTTATGGCATTTGACAATTGATTGATTAACACAATACAAATTTGATAATTATATAATGTGATGATTTAATTTCACACCACAACAACTAATTATATTGTTGCCCGCTAATAGATAATTGCCTGGGCATCTGTTTTAATTGTATAAGTCAATAATCAAATTTTATGTTTTTCATTTATGCTCTAGTTATTTAATAATAAGTTAAAAATAATAAGCCGAACATGTGTAGTTGTTAACTAAATGCTGGCTGATAATAACGTTAGGATGTCATTGTTTTTTTTTGATGGCTCACGAGTATTCTGTAGCATAATACTTTTAAAAATGTTTTTGTATGTAAATTGTCCTACTTGTACGCTTTCACCATTTTACCGCATTTTGTTTCTACCATTCTAAAATAATTTTATTGTGTGCGAACAAAATAGATAGGTTGCGAATTGACGACAATAAAATAACTCGCTTGAGATTCTTCAAATCAATTTTATTGCCTATGCATTTGAATTCAATTCTATAGAATGTAGGTCGTTGGGACGAGAGCGCTTCTTGTCGTCACAATGTATGCAGTTACGTATTCTATTAGTGCAATTGTGTGCAAATTATACCTCCACGGACGCGGCATCTGCCATCATTTCGGAAATGGAATATTTTAACGTGTACGCAAATTTTACACTGGTAACATTTAAATTGCTTACATATAATATTGTTGTCATTATAATATTTATAAACAAAATAGTAGTTGTTAAAACAAAAAGATTTTAATGTAATTATCAGTATCACCCAGTATCACTAAAATATACAATATAAAACTTCTATTCGCATATAAATATGTAAAGGATTAAAATAATTACGATACGTATGTTTTAAGAGTAAAGAAATGATATTCACATAAGTATAAGCGAACTTTGTATGGCTCGTAACAGTGCGTCAGATCTGGGCGAAGTTCGCACGCTCACATCACGAGCAGCTGAAAAGTCTAATCCCGACATAAGCTTACGCGGGTACATTTAACTTTGCACCTTAACTGACTACCCACAACCCACATATATCGTAATATTTTTAGGTGTTACATTACACGCGGCTTCTTAAAAAAAAGCATTATATGTGCATAAAAAATCTTTCATTTAGGATTGAGTGTTGAAAATTTAGTACGACTCTATTAGTTACCACACAGTTTAGTCCAATTGAAAACCGTACTGCATCTATATTGATATTGCTATTTACCTTGTGATCTTTAATAGTGAAATTGTAGAATAAAAATAGACAGCATTGATTGAAATGTTTACAACGAAAAACGGAAAATATTTTTTATCTGTGTTAAGCCGCTTTGGTCAAAACATTCGAAGAAATTGGCACGTGAATCGTAATCCGCTGGTTCGCTTTATCCAACAGATAAAATATTTATAACAACGAGAAATAAAAGGAAATGTTTATTTTTCATATTTTAATATTTTTTTAAATATCACCCACCAGACTTATCTTACATAAGACCATTTACATAATGTATCACGATTAATGATAAACGTGAGTGTTTGGATGGATAGATGACTGGACGGATGGGTGTTTGTTAGAACGTATCTCCAGAACCGCTACATGGATCTCGCTGAAATTAGGTATAGATGCACAACATAGTCTAAAAGAATAAGGTTCTAATTATTATTTTTTTAATACCGCGAGGACAGAGTCGCGTCGATTTTCATATGGTTTCATTTGGTTTTGATATAATATTTTTTACTCTAAAGATAAAACAAAAATAATTTATCCTCATTTACATATTTCTGCTGATATTAGAGTAAATATCAGCTTGTTAAATACTTCACTAAATTTCACATAACTTTAAATTCCATCACGTCGAAACTCTAAATTCTATCTTCACCGTCTCGCCGGTAGGTATTCGACGACTCTGCGCTTTTCGCGAAACTTTGTGCGTCGAGCGTTCGTTTTGTAAGCCACGATAGCGGTATTTCCAGGTCGTTTACTTAGGTATGTCTTATTAAAGCCCGTAATTATTTATTAAAAACGCAGAAAACTGTGAATATTTAGTTTTCTGATTACCCATTTTAAAAAACATAAAATTTCTATGCCTGAAGTTATGGGGTAATTGCGAAATATGTTTATAGGCAACAATATTGCCCCAAACCGGTTCTGGTTTTGCGACCACTACTATTACCCGAGTACTCATAACGAAAGAGAAAATTCCACGACAATTGTAACAAAAAACTGACGCTGGCGTGGAAATATTAAAAACATAAACAACTTCAAAAGGATGTTTGTTTAAGTTATTTGTTGTACAAACACACTGAAACTAGCTCGATTCAAAATATGCGTATAGCATAGATATTATTTGAGTATGGCAACTCATAACCTCTCTCGCGCGAACTAAACGTTTATTACCGTAATGACATGCCATTGTGCGGCCGAGATAACATTCCAGCTTTACGTCAGCAGAGTAATTGGATCCTAAAATTGAAGTATAAATATTTGGCATCATTCACACATTGTTATGTCTTTCTAACCTAAATCCCAGATCTAACCACATCTATTATACATGTTTGCGTAATATTTAATCCATAGTTACATTTTGCACATTTACAAAGTCTCTTTCAACAATAGCTACTAAGCCGTTTCCTCATGCTTTCTGCCCTCGGTATACTCTAGTTAGTAATGGCCTAGTCGTGGGTTTCTGACACCAAAATCCCTGTTTTAAACATATCTATGGTTTGTAAAAGATAATGAAAGGGATGATGATATGTTTTGTACAAAGATTTTTGATCTCTGAAACCAATGGAGGATCTTTCTAGAACTCTCTAGTAATGGACTAGATTTTCGGACCATGCATACAAAAAACGAAACGTCCGAAAACATAATATGTATCAAATAGGAACCCATTTGCAACATTATCTTACAAATAAGTTTTCTACTACACTGATTTTAATAAATATCCATTTAAATTGCTTTCTTAAGAAATAAAAATCTTAAAACACTTTTGAAATATTTAAAACTTTAGTACAAAGCTTTGAGATGAAAGTAAGCTACTTAAAATTTGTTAAAATATTTAATATTTAAAATGTGTTAGTCGTCGATTGTGTACTATAGCAATTTTTTTAATTCTATTATATTTTCTCTTTAAAGAGTAAAAAGAAAACATAGTAATGAAATCAAGTAGTAAGTACGAAGGACCATAAAATAATTTCCACATTATTCATTTTATTTCAAAAAAAAGATATTGTATTTTATAACAGCTTCAGATAAATAAATAAAACGTAAATATAGTCCCTAAATAACAATTTCTTAAAGATCAGGTTTATCTTTCCCTAAGGACAGATTCTGTCGGATCGTTGCTACCGTGACGAAAAAGTTTATAACTCAAATCCCACTGTTGAGATTTTTTAATCCTTTTAACTTTCCTCTTAAATTTCCCTTAGAATATCTTAAAATTGGTCCGAAGAAAAATTCAGACTTAAAGTATATATAATAACAACTTGATTATATATATTTTTTCAACTTTCAAGAATATAAAATGTTTTAAAGATACCTTGTTATTTTAAACACTAGTATGTGAGACTTGACTCACTAAAACCCCCTTGAAGGCTACCTTCTAGTGCAATTGGTAAGAGCCCCGAGATCACCAAAGAAACGTACCGAGACTCTGCACAGGGCTTCTGCACGACCCAGATGCCTCTCGTGCCTTCACGTAACTAAGGCAGCTCAGGACTACACCTTGTCGTTGTACCAGATCGTTTAGTAAGGCAATCAGGGCTCCACCATAATCGCCCACTACCCCGAGGGTCCCTCTGGCCGCTCCTGTGGCAAAGGGACAGTGTCCTATTTTTTTGCTCGGGACTACGAGGCACTCTCTCTAGTCCAAATTTGCTTCTGCTTCCTATCCTTTCCTTATTAGATGAGTGGGAGAAGGAATAAAACTAGAATCGAGTCTTTGGAACGTCACTCACACATCAATCGAAACGTAAAATGTCTATAATGTAAGGTATTTCACTGGTCGAGTTTTTCGTCGAGTCGAGTCACAGATTTTTCAGCAAAACATTCCGGAGTCCACCACTGTTCAGATATAAAGATAAATGTAATAAAACTATAAGAAAACAGGTACAGAAGTTTTATTTTATAAAAAAAAAAATCTCAAATCAGTCAATATTAGTACCGATTACAACATATTAAGGCAACGGTGTCAAAGTTAACTTAGTGATCTAAAACTACCTCTTACAAAAGCTACCAATTGCAAACGCAACACAACTACGTTCACTATAATTACAACTAAATTAAGTTATTAAAAAATTTCAATCAATGTATATCGAAATTATTTACACGTATACCTCATTAAACAAAAAACAGTATTAGAAATTATTATAATTATAAATATTAATAAAAATTATTTATTTAAAAATTATTTACACATTTCGTATTCAATAAAGTTCGTCACACAAATGATGCGTAACATTAGCTATACCATTAGAAAAAAATATTAATGTCTCATGATTTTAACGAACTAAACGACACAAATTAAACGTATAATAAAATATGCTTAGATATTATTTATTATTATAACAGCATTAATTAGTAAAATTATAATAATTAATCTTACTATACTAAAACTATTTATCTGTCAACATAAATATTGGCGTTTGCAATCTGTAGAGAATAAAATGTGCAATGTACGTAGTGTAAATGTAAGATATTAAACGGCATAATTATTATTTATCAGGATATTGAACTAATAGCTTAATAAAAGATGACATAGGTGTCAATATAGATATTGAATACTACGCCGTTGTTTTGTAAAAAAAAATCTTGTGATTATAGCGCAAATATCGCTTATAGTGTACAACGACATATAAATCTTTTAACTTTTATTATTAAATCTTTTATCTGGCTAGTAAATTCAATAACTAGTGTAAAATTGATAGTACATGATATGTGTATATTTTTAGTGTTACTAAAAATGAATATGCGTGGAAACGTTTGCAATAGATTGATAGAAATCTTACAATAATCTAACATTTATGTACATTTAATTCTAAATATTAATCTATTATAATACATGTTATTTTATAAAACTTACATAATATCGAGGCACGAACAGTGAAATAGCACCAAATTGAAATTTCACTTTATGTTTTAAGAAAGAGACAATCAGAGGCAATATTTATTGCGCTATCTCAATTCCTTGTGCGTTTTACTTTTATTCTTATTTAATACTAAGACGATGTCTTTATTATTAATATAAAGAAAAACTTATTAAGGCAAATTTTTCTTACTTCAAATAGAATTGGCACATTTGTTCAAAACAACGATAGTACATTTGCAATAATTGCCCTTAAATCTCATATAAAGGACTGGACAAAAAATATGGACAACGCCATGAAGTAAAAACCGAGTCCAAAATAATTCGTTGTATGACATAGACAATTATCTAACGAGAAGGATATCCACGGCAATGTAAATCACAACCAAAACATGACACCATTTTTATATTTAGAAAGCTAACCTAGAAATGCATTTCTTATGGTCAATTTGGCCATACGGAAGAATACTGAGACACAAGTTTTTATCGAGTTTCAAGTTTTAATAGTCATTACGATAGATAATATTAAATTACTTCTCTTAGCATAGTATTACTAGGTACGTATAAATTATGTGTTAATTCTTAAAAATAAATAAACTTCAATTATTTCTGACAATATCGTGTGATTTGGGGTTCTATTCTGCACAAAATGGCTATTTATTCGTACAGTTTCCTTAATTTTTTAAAAATCGTATTTTTCACAAACTTCTAACATACTTTTATTTTGAATTACACTATCTATGACTATGTACATAATTAACTTATTATTTAACAGATTGGCATATTTGTGGAGCACCAGTCGTTATATATATAACTTTACTTTCTACAAAGATTTTGTCAGCGATATGAGATAATCAATAAAGTGCTGTAATAATTTTAAAAAATCTTACTGTAGTGAAGTACGCTAGCAACAGGACAATAAACCCTAAGTGACATTCAGTACTATGAGTACCTGTAAATAATCCTTTCGACATTAAATAAACACATTTATCAACATATGGTTTTTATACCAATTTCCATGTGAGACGGTCAGAGTTTTTTTTTAAATCAATTTGTTAAATTCTTTATAGTTTAAAAGTAGAATGTATGATGTATGTGAGTGTCAGTATGCGAGTGGGGCGGGTGAGGGGGGCGGTGCGCGGGCGGCGGGCTCGGGCTCAGACTCGCAGGCGTCAGTGGAGGCGGGCGTGGGCGGCGGCGGGCGGTTCATGGCGCGGTAGTGGCGGTAGGCGCGGCGGCGACCCGCGTTACCGCTGCTGGCCGTGGCCGGGCTGGGCGGCGGATTTGCCGTCGGTCGCGGGTAGCGCTCGCACAGGCTCTCCGTTGCGCGATCGTCGAACGAACTGCACACCAGGCTGCCGAATACACATCACGGTCACTTACCTTCAGTTAATTTGAACCGTATTAGACCTTGCTAGACAAGAAAACCTTCTAGAATCCTCTATAATCTAACACCTACCTAATCACACCAAGTGACAACAAAGTTCAAAAATCAAAATATAAAAACAAAATCTTTTCTATGAACTAAGATAAAATGTGTCGGTGTATAAAGTGTAACTTACTCAGAGGAGCTGGCTCCGAGAGGTCTCGCGCGGGGCGGAGGCGGTTTGATAGGCACGAGGGGGCGGGGAGGTGGCGTGCGAGGGGCGCGGCGGCGGCACCGGCGCAGCGCCGCCCACGCGCCCGCCAGCCCCGCCCCCACCGCCGCCAGCGCACCGCACACCACTAGCGCGCGCGATTTCCGCACCGGCTGACGATAGGCAGAGAAACATTAAAATAATCTGAATCATGCTTGAATCGATAGCTCGTTAGTGTCTTTAGAAGTATAAATATAAACAATACCTGTTCTTTTTGTCCATATCCGCAGGCTGAGGGTAGCTCGTCGGAGCCGTCCTCGCAGTGAAGCCGACCGTCGCACAAGAGCGCAGGTGCCAGGCACAGCCGTTGGTCACAACTACATTAACAAATACATTGTTCAATAAACAAGTTTAGCGACACACTATTAATGCATAATATTAAAAAGTTTAAGTTTTACCGGAAGGCGGCGGGCAGTGGCGTGGCGCAGTAAGCTCCAGTGGGACAGGCGCCGAGCGCAGGCGCACACGAGCCATCCGCGCAGCGCAGTCCCGCGCCCGCCGCGCACGCACCGCACTCCGCACCCTCGTCCGACCCATCCGGACAATCCACCGTACCGTCGCATCTGATACAAGAAGAGAACAATGAGAAATACAAATTATAATTGCACAAAAAATTACAGGGAAGCATTTGGGCTTAAATATGTTGACTAACTTCCAGGCGCGGGGTATACAGTGTGGCGGGCGATCGGGTGAGGGTGCGCACGGCACCTGGTCGGGCTGACAGGCGGGCTGCGGTGCACAGCGTAGCGCGCAGCCGCACCCGCCGCCCGCCAGGCACGCGCCCGGCGCCTGACCGCACTTGCTAGCCCAGCACGCGTGCTCTCGAGCCACCTGATTGAAAATACAATTGAATTATTAGAAAAATGCACTTCAAACATTCTATAACTTAATATTTATTAATAATTTCAATCCGTGATAAGTATTTTATTCTATTTATGCGCGGCTCGTGAAATTGGTCCGAGCAGGATTCTATTCTGGATACCAAATATACAGAAATACAGCTATTGCGATAAGTCAAACAAGATTGAATAGCAAATTGTTCTCGCCTTGTTAACGGGGAGGAGTGCGGCGAGGCGGGCGAGGTGTGATACGGGAGCGGCGGGAGCCTCGCGGCGGTGTAGCGGCACTCGCATGAGCGCTCGCTCGCCGCCGCTGAAGTACAGCGCGCCGCCGTACGCCGCAAGCGTGCCGCACCACCCACCCTGCCACACCACGCGTCTGCAAACATACCAAAACACATATAAACGCTCCTAAAACTCGCAACATACGTATGCTAAAGAAAATGTTGTTTACTGCAAACTGCTTTCTGCAACACTTACAGTTTAATATGGATTTCTCGTACTCGATCTACATTGTGGAAGACCCTAAAAAGGCATTATATTTGTTGTCTAGTTTTAGTCAATGTTATGAACTATTATATTTGTGTCCTCACTTGTTGTTCCCGTCGAGGTCCACGGCGTGTATCTGTCGCGAGAGGGCCCAGTAGACTGTGGCGGAGGCGTGGTCTAGCGCGAGCGCGGTGGCGTTGGGCGCGCCCGCCAGCTCCGTGCGCCCCGTGCCGTCCGCGTTTGCGCGCATTATTGCGCCCACGCCCACGTCGTTCCATACCAACACCCTAAGCATCAACATGTTACACATATTCAAAGATCATAATAATTTATGATAAATAAAAAATATGTATAGAATCTTTAAAACAACTTTTAATATAAATAAATTTAAATTTCGATCCTCATTATAAAAAATATATTGTAACGTCCATTTTAAGACAATAGGGAATCATAAAAAGGAATTTTCTTTTTAATTTTTTACCTTTTAGTTTGATGAAACGCTAGATGCCTAGGCAACATTTTCTCTCCGCGAAGTATAACGCCTGTTAGAGAGGAATTGACGATAGAGGTCGCATTGATCGAGTCTCCGTCCAGACATGTCCAGTAGAGGGCGCGACCTATCACATCCAGCACCATGTGGAACGGTCTCGATAGACCTGTCACTACGGGATGCGAATCTGTAATCGCCGAGGTTGTTGAATACGATATGGCCACGCGACGTATTGCATGCGAGTCATCATCCATCCAATACAGATTCCTGGGACAAAAAATAACATTGTATACATATAATATAAATAATTAGTAATTTATTTAAATATTGTATATTTTTAAAAATACTTACTTGCTGACGGGATCATATTCTATGGCCTTGACACTCTTGAGTCCAGTCAACGGTATAAAGGCATCGTTGACTTCCCCAGTTGCAACCATAATGCGACCTATTGCATTCTTTTGGGCAAACAGCAGATACTCTTCTGGCTCTAAAACACAACACACCATTTTTATTTTCTTTTTCAAATACTTAGTGGCCAATTTGTACTCAACCTTATTTTTACCAAAGAGGTCGAACATATGGATGGACGATTTACAAAAAAAAAATGGCTTACGAGTCTTTTCAGCGGTGCTGTATTGAGTGTTGCTCATAGGCAAATCTACACTAATATATAATAAAAAGTGTGTCAGAAAATTTGTGATACCGGAGCAGGTCAAGTTGTCCGGGTTGCGGCGGTAGTGTGCAGGGCAGGCGCAGCGGTAGTCATCGGGGCGCGGCAGACAGAGATGTTCGCAGCCGCCGTTATCCACCGCACACTGGCTGCCGTCCGGCTCCCGACCTCGAGGGTACACCTTCAGGTCCGAGATGTAGTCTAACCCGCTGTGCAGACGCGCTCGGTCACCGCCGTCAGTCTTCTTCGCTGATTCCACTAGACCTAACAAAAATAAATGTAAACTTGTTTCTTTAAAATAGAATGGCTTTCTTGATGTCAGTTAAAGCATTTTACTTAGGGATTATGAAATATTAAAAAAAGATAAAAAGAAACATAACGGGGCAAATGAATTATTTAAAAAAAATTACTGACCAGTATTCCAATCCCCCCAAAAGACGCGATCACCGTAAATAGTAAGTGCATACGGCATTGAAATATTATTAGCCAATATCCTCCTGCCGGTGCCATTAAGGAAGGCGTACTCTATGGCGGGCGGGTCGAGCGCCGCCCAGTACAGCGTGCGCGTCTCGTAGTCTATGGCCAGAGCGTGCACGCGCCCCACTTGCTCTATGAACACGGTCGGGGACGTCCCGTCCATGGCCGCGCGCTTTATACTCTTTGAACCTAACTCTGACCAATACATGTAACTGAAAATATATAACACATCATAATTATACTTAAAGCGAAAATTTTGTAAGAATAGTTTTTTTTTAAATTTGCGCAAAATGATTGTCATGGTATTTTTAATTAAAAAAATCTTATGAGTTATGGTCAGTTTCGACCAATGGTGTTTAGATATTAGGCGAATACTAAATTTAAAATTATTTATTCTACCATAGTCAATAGTTTTCCTTCGTATTTTGACCAATAGAAAAAGCAATACATTTTTTTGTTTTGTGTTCTATATCTCACCCTTTCTTAGGATCAAGGACGATGCTCTTAGGTTTCTTCAGCCCTTGCCAGATAAGCGCGCGCCGACTGGAGCCATCAAGTCGAGCCACTTCGATCCTCTGCGAACTCGTGTCCGTCCAATAGATATTCTGAGCTGACCAATCTATCGCTAGACCTAAACCGAATAACAAGTAACATTTATTAGTAATTAACATTAATTGTATTTTTACTTTACGATAAAAAAAAATATAAAAAAATACCTTCAACCAATCCCATCCATTCCAATATTTTCTCCATAAAAGATCCGTCCATAGAGGAACGATTGATTGTTTTAGTTTTACTGTCCGACCAGTACAACTTGCCCCCCGACACGTGAGCCGCTAACGCGCTATGAAAAAAAGGAAAAATAAAATACAGTTCAAATATTAGAAAAATAAAGAAAGACACTTTTTATTTTTAATTGTAATTTATAAGGAAAAGTTTAAAATATAAAATAAAAATTACTTCAAATATAAATACATCTATTTTAATAAATTCTTGATATTGCCGTCAAATAGTTTATCTTTTTATTTTATTATTATTGTCCACTTACCTGACTTCCTTCAAATCTTTAACAGGCAACACTTCCTCATTATCTTCATTATCAATGCTGATTATTCCGATAATATTCTTGCGACTGTACACTAAGAACGCATCCGGATCTATACAGGTCTTTCTATCTCTTTTCAACTCCATCACTGTAAATGAAAACAAGATATATTTATCGTAATACTAGCTACCGCACGCGACTCCGTCCGCACGGTGGGCTACGAGTTCGTCCACATCTATGCTGTATAAGCGAAATACGTTAAGCCGTTCTGGAAATACCTTCTAACAAAAATCCGTCCAAACATTCGCTTTTATAATATCAGTGAGATGTACGGAGTAATATTATACAGTACGACCAAATATTCAAAAATTATAAATAAATAAAATGGCTCTTAAAAAAAATCACTATTGAGAAATTATGAAGGAAAAGGTGAGCTAATAAAAACAAGTTACCCAGTGGACATGTGCATATGTATTCAGTAGGCCTGTTAAAACAGAAGTGGGAACAACCGCCATTGTCCAAACTGCAGCGGTTGTCACCTAACGGCTCGCCCAAACGAAATGCCTTCACACCCATCATGTTGGCCATCTGTTCCGCAACTAACTGACGCTCCAGACCTGGTAATTTTTTTTATTAAGTATTACACAGGACAATTGTCACCACTAAAGTAATTGAAAGTATTATTGTATTCAGATAAATTAAAAAAAAAATATCCTTGATTTCTGATACCATAATCCCTTTATTTAAGATTTTATACAGGGATTTTGGTCTCAGAAACCAAGGATTAATCCATCAAATTACCTGTATCTTTATTAATTCTATCTAATGTCCGTCTCTGCATGTCTGACCAGTACAGATGGCCACCCAACAATGACAAACCAAACACATGCAGAATATCGCTGTTGTGTAGTTCCCTTCTCTCTGTACCATCCATATTGCTCACCTATGGGCATAAAAATAACATAATTGTGACTTAATTACTTAAATAAATAGCGTGTTCCAGAGATTGTTAAACATTGTTTCTTGTAGACACCATTCAAAGATTATTTAGGTTTCGTACCCCCTTGACGGGTCTTCAATGAACCTAGGCGGTCCTATTGAACCACTTTGGGAATCACTGGTATATATCAGTTCTGAATCCTACTTTCTAATTTCAAATTATACAAAACTAGCAGTTTCCCGGGATGTCGTCCGCGCGGAATTAAAAATCTAGCAATAAAAGCCAATGTCACCCGGGGCTTTCTACCAGTGAATGAATATTTTAAATCGGTTTAGTATTTTCGGAGTTTATTCAATACAAACAAAGAAACTGTTAAATATTTCTTTACAATAATAGTATAGACAAATATCAGGTTCTTTGTAAAGATTGTGGCAAATTTATATTGAAAATGTATAAACTTACTTCAATTTTATGTATCCTAGCATCTCCCCAGTACAATCTGTTGTTAACAGTGTCTATCGCGATACCATTGGGCCAAGTCAACTTCTCCGAGACCAGCAACACACGGCCCGTGCCATCGAGATTTGCTCGTTCGATCTTAGGTTTCTTTTCATTCCAATCGGACCAGAACATCAGACCGGCTTTTGGATGCAACGCTATCGCACGAGGGTCAAGTAAATCTTCATGAATTAGAACCTGCAAAGTCACGATGGGTTGAGTCAAACTCTATAACCAATGTAATAACATTTTTATTGTATAGTAATAACTATAGAAAATTAAAATTACATATGAAACTTTGAAGTGGATAGTCAAGTGTTTAATAATAATAAGACTACGTCGACAGGACAGCGATATATATTTTGCTAATAGACATAAACATAAACATCTATAAGCGAGAAACTCGGGTTATTCTATTGTCCATCTGGATCTGACAACAACTCTTGCTTATAGAAGTTTCTCGCTTATCCAAGTTTGACTGTACTGTTTAGTTTAGTCGAATTTATTTTTTACAATCCTAACTTATTATAGTTTTAGATGATGTTACCTTTTTAAAATTAAAATTAAGTCTGGCAACATTGATAGTGTCAGTGGCAGGATCTGTCCAGTAGATGTTCCGGGCCAGGGGGTCGATGGCGATACTATCTGGTACACCATAGCTGTGTATCACCACAGACTGCTCGCTGCCGTCCAAACGCGCCCGGGATATCGTCTTAGACTTAAAAGAAATATCTCTTAATTCTCACGACTTTTTAAACAACTTCACACCAAAAGCCTCGCCAAATATTTGACATGTTTGATGGCATTTTAATACATTAAAATCATAGTGGCATAATTTTGTTAAATGTTTTTTTCTTGTTAAAAAAACAATGAGTTTAACAAAAAACAATAAAAGGTATCTAACCAAAATAAAAAAGCACTTGGCATTTAAAAATATTTTAACTAAAATTCATTATATTTACAATTTAAATAACTTACCAAGCTATCAGCCCAGTACATATATTCAGTCTTTGTATCAAAGTCAACACTTAGTGCTCTTTTGAGATCCTTAACTGGGACTGTATAGGGTGTAAAATCAGGAGAATCTAAAGAAATCTTTGATATAATAGTGCGCTGCGCAACCAACAGTATTGATTGTGGTGAGCTGTAACAAGTTGTATTACTATCCTCTTTTAACTTCACACCTGTTGGACAGGCGCACATATACCCTGTAAAGAAAATAATTGCAAAATATTTTATAGTATAATACATTAGTTGCAGTGTATGCAGTATACTATACACTAGTGGTCCAGGTGGACCGCCAAAGGTCTACACAAGACTCAACGGGGAGTATGATAACAGGAAATAAAAGTTGAAGTTTCAAAATTGACAAAGAATAAGTACTTAAAAGAGGGTCTATAAGCAAAAAGTTTAAAAACCTCTGCTTCAAAATATGCATACAATTATTAACTTAACTTTAAATCATGAAAGTACGTAAATTTATATTACCAGGTGGAGTAGGAGAAAGAAGACAGAGATGTGAACATCCCCCATTATTATGTTTACAAGGATAATCTCCTGTAGGCATCAACTGTCTACTGCCATCAAAAACTTTGATGTCAACAGGTACTGGGTTAGATTTTATGACATCCTTTATAGGACCATTTGTGGCTATATCCCATGTGTAAATTGTCCTGAAATTACGAAACTTTTTAGTTGTCATTGTTACAAATAAAATACATATAACAATAAACTCCACTGCATATATTAAAAAAGATTACATTATTTTCTTACTAAAAAAACACAAATAAAAAAAAATATTATTGCAATTTTGTTTGTGTACGCCAAATTTACATGAATACACTTTTCCTTACCAAGTTTTCCAATCAGTCCAATAAAGCTTGTCATTAAAAAATGTGAGTGCATATGGGTATTCTAAACCTCCTTTGATTATTCTCTTTCTTTTCCCACCACTAAAATCAATTGCATCTAAAAACTGTAGTTTTGCATCAGCCCAATATATGATATCATTATCATAATCAATGGTGATACCGTTAGGCCAGAATATATCATCTTTTACAATAACTTTGCGAGATGATTGATCACCATTCATACCAGCTCGTTCTATTTTAGGTATCTCACCCCAGTCAGTCCAAAACATTAATCTGTAACAAATATGGTGTTTCAATATTTTTATTTATTTATGGAAATTCATCCACAAAATTTCTCACTGTATGTTAAAATACAAACAAAACAAAAAGTGAAAGGATGAGAAGGGCAACTGAATTTGGTAGAGAGTACTACACACAGAAAGTCTTCCTATGAGACCCCTCTTCTGTTGATTAAAGGTAGGCAACACATCTACAATTGCATATCTCTATGGACAGTGGTTGCTTCTTTATCTTGGTGAATTCAAGTGGCAAGTTGCTTTGCAACTTATAATATAAAAAAAACAATACATACCCATCTTTTGGAACAACCGCAATCGCTCTTGCTAAATCAACTTCAGACCAAAATAAAACTTTTCTATATTTTTGATTAATACTAATAACTTCTATTCTATTTGTTTCACCATCTGTCCAATATATTTTGTCAGTATACCAGTCTATAGCGATCCCAGTTGGAGTTATTAAACCTTCAGAAACAATTCTTTCCTGCAAAATGTAATGATTAAAATATATCCAGATAAGTGTAAGTCAAAGTTCCCATTTGTTATAAAAATTCATGTAAATTTAGATTGAATTAAATTAAAATGAATATTAAAATTAGTAAATATTATCTTACTTTTTCACCAGAATATGTTTCATTATAAGTCATGCATTGTATTAATTCTGCAGTTTGATCAGAACAGCATATTAAGTCCTTTGTAAACAAAAAATCAACAGCAGACCCTTGTTCTAATCCTTTAATTATAGGGTTAACTTTGCCCGGTTTTGACACATTTAAAAGTCTTATATCTGATGCAGTTGAATATAATAAAACAGGATTATTAGGTACTGCATAGTAACCTGAAAGTTTCATAAATAAATTAACATATTCTTGGTTAGTATTCACTTGAATTATCCAAATTATTGCAAAAAGTTACCTTTTAACTGTAAAAACATTAACAAACAAAATACTTGGGCTATATTTTGTACAATTTTATCAGCTTGAACGATCCTTCGGCGCTTTGTCATAATGAAAACAAATTGAATTCGTAAAGGAAGTTTTGCATTAGTTTTTTATTTATAGATTGCACTGGTATTAAGGCACTGTAAGAAACATCTTTCATAAAAGAGTTATTGACTTCTTCTCATTATTAAAATTAAATCTCTGCTTATTTCCATTTATATTTCGGGGAAATAAACGAATTTTGACTATTTCGAGATCAACACAGGTGAAGATAAACAATGTAAATATAGATTAAATAACTGCAAACATAGATCTAGAGGTAGATTCTTATCTGCATTTACAACTTTTTTCATTTAATGTTGTTTCCTTGCTCTTTGGAAGTTTCGATTAGACAATTGCAACCAAAGAGTAATTAAAATTGCAACGACTGCAAGTGTGTGACTTTGACAATTCGTTTGTTGACGTAAAATAGATGACGTTTGATCCTTTTTGAAATACAAATTCACATAAGTTTTTAGTTTTTGAGATACTTTTCGATAAAACATGCTTAAATCGTATACAGTATTATTTTTTAATTGTTACCACTCCTAATAATACCATGGAGTTATTTTCAATGTTGTGGACTTCGGTGATATATCTTATTGGAGCGGGTGTCGGTCTTTTAATTCTGGTACGGAAATAAGTTATGATAAACGTGTCAAAACAGTAAATTCTTTTTTTTCTTTATTCTTTACTTGATAAATAAGGTGATAAACATAATAATTTTTTTATAAGTGTACTGATAAAGCATCAATGAATTTCTATTTCGTGTTAACCCCAGGCCCGAACATTATGAAAAATTAACCGGTACTCTCAAATTCTGACAACATGCTACGTAACTAAATTAAACATCGACTAAAAATGTCAGTTATTTTCCCTAAATATTTGCACAGTGCTTCTTGTTACAGTTTTCAATTTTCCTCTATTTGACAACCAAACCTTATCCAATTGTGAAGAGACACAAAGAGGAGGAGACATTTTTTGATCCTATAACTAAAACCAAAATAAAATTACCAAACATTAATGAGGCTTCCACTTTAAATCTTTCTGTTATAGTTCCTGCTTATAATGAAGAAGAAAGATGTAAGTATTTAAACATCTAAACAACTAATTGTAAATTAAAAAAAAACATAAAAGTTACAAGAATAATATAAAATAAGTCTGCATGTTTCTTATTTTACAGTGCCCCCAATGCTTGATGAAACATTGGAGTTCTTGGAGAATAGAATTAAAGAGCATTCCACATACAAATATGAAATTATTGTTGTGAGCGATGGAAGTAAAGACAAAACAGTACAGGTTGCACAAAATTATGCAGAGAAATATGGAAGTGAAAAATTAAGATGTCTTGAACTTGTTGAAAACAGAGGGAAAGGTGGAGCTGTACGGTTGGTATGTGTTAGAATATTATGACAAACAGCTTTAATCAAAACAATGAGCATATGAAAGGTCCACTGGAAGTGGTAAAAAGCCTACCTTAAATAGATAGTCACTCCATCTAGTGGATGACATTGGATAATCTGTGTCAACTCCTACATCTACAGAAGATAGGTTTTAAATTAACTTATATCCTCATGACTCATCATAGTTATATTTTTTGATAAACACACTGCTAATTTTTTTACTATTTGTTACAATTCCAAGCTGATATTATTTTTATATGATTACAGGGTGTACAAAATGCCAGAGGTGCATCTATATTGTTTGCAGATGCAGATGGTGCATCTAAATTTGAAGATTTAGTTAAATTGGAATCAGCATTAAAGGATATAATCAAATGCGATCCAATCACAGAGCCTAACCTTGTTAGTGCTAAAGTTGGTTTAGCTATAGGATCTAGAGCTCATCTTGAAAAGGAATCATTGGCTACAAGAAGTCTTTTTAGGTAATTATTTTAATTCAATTTAAATTTTCATTAAATCACAATTTAAATTTTAATCATGTAAATTAATATTATTTCAGGAATATTCTGATGTATGGTTTCCATTTCCTAGTGTGGTTATTTACAGTGAAAGGTATTAAGGATACACAATGTGGCTTCAAGTTGTTCACAAGGAAAGCTGCCGATATCTGTTTCCAAAGTCTTCATGTCAACCGATGGTAATAATTCTTTGCCCTATTTAAAAAAAAATTCATTTATTTATTCTTAGTGAATCACTTAACAACATATTTAATAAGAAATGTGTGTATCTTGTGTTAAATAACATAGAGTTAATTCAATTTGTCATCAAATTCAATACTAAAGTTGATATTAGTTACTAGTTTTCCAGCAAAATTAATGAATTTGAATATTGTTTTTATAGGGCGTTTGACGTAGAACTATTGTACTTAGCACAAAAATTAAACATTCCAATAGTCGAGATTCCAGTAAGATGGACTGAAATAGAGGGATCCAAGGTAACTCCAATAATATCATGGATTCAAATGGGATGTGACTTGGGACTCATCTGGTTGAAATACAGGATCGGAGCGTGGAAGATAAAAAGTGATAAAATAGATTAAGTTGAACTATGTTTATTATTTGCATTTATTTACAAGTTATAAATATTTATTTTTCAATTATATTTTCATGTTTTTTGAACAGCTCTTATTCAATTTCACGTAAATGTAAATAATTAAATAAAAGTCAATTTATATACATATATCTTTTATTTTAAACTTATAATAGTGTGCCTTGTTACAAAATTATGTAATTTAAAAGATTTCTTACAATAATGAAGTACAAAATGTTTCAAGATTCAAGAAAGATCATGCTAATGGCCACAGTTTAAAAGTAACTGATTGTAAGGAATAAGCTCTCTTTGAGCATTTTGACAATGTTTCAATAGATTTGAAAATTTGGCAATGATTTGAGACTCATTTACACAATGGTCTTAATATTTAAGTAAACAATAAGACTTAAACAGCTTTATTCCCAATGAAATGATAAAATCATTTCAATCGTTTCCTCAACTCACTCTACTCTCTTAAATTATATTTTGTTCCATTTTAGTGAAAATACCTATGTATAAAAAAATTAAAAACAACTATCGATGGGAAATTAATGCACAATATGTTCCTTCAAATCTGTTTCTTTTATAGAAATGAAGATTATGTATTATATAATACATAAATAACATGCTCAGTCTATAAGTCGTAATTTAAAAAATCTAGTATAACAATATCATGACAGTAATAAAATGTATGTGGTTTGGTTTCCATTATTTAGTGTTATTAATAAACTGGCTTTGCACTAACATCCTTCTTCATATACACAAAGCTTTAATTGCAAAAAAAAAAAAATTTTCAATACAATTTGGTTCTTAATGATTAAAATGTTAATTGAAGGTATTAGAGATAAATATCTATAAAGAATATTTAAAGCGATAGATAATACTAACTACATTATGCGAATAGATGATTATAAAATTGTAATTTTAAAATTGAAATGCAAGAAAATTATTTATCTATGACCCAAATCTTTGCGAAGATTATTTGACCATGGCAACATCGATGAACGGCTTACGGCCAACACTGGACGGAAGAGAAATTAACCAGTTAGGCTGATATTGTATAAACTGTTTCAAATTTTGCATTTCATTTAGTTACAACATTAGTAAGATATTTTCTACAATCAGACAGAAATGGAATGATTGGAAATGCTACACAATACATGTAATATTCCATATAACATAGTATCAAATATTTTAACGACTCGGATCACTTAGTAGTTGCACAGAACACAATTATAAATGTAGCGGGGCGTAAAAGGACGCGCAAATGACCTTATAAATAACTCATTTTTTTTATTGGAGCCAAGTAAGCGCATAAGTATTTGGTACAACCTCAATAAACATTGTCTTTTTTATATCACAATAGCACCGCAACTTTGCGCGCAAATTAAAATAACCTGTGACCTGGGCATACTGTAGTTTTCCAAAAGTGAAAGAATTTTTCATATCTGTTCACTAGTTTTGGAGCCTACTCAATGGAAACAGTTTAAATATTTCAACTTTCCAATATGAGAAAAAAAATTAACCGACAAGTGGTAAAAATGAAGATTGAAAAGATCATTTCAAAATTTAAAGAATATTTTGGCCTCCAAATAGATCCAATGCCTCCAAATAGATTCAAAAATATGTTATTTATATTTAACATAAACTATTCTTACATATATAATCCAGAACATCTAAAACATATCATTATTGAATATAATTCAATTTATAGGAATCTTTTTGATAGTTTTGTTCTACACCATTATTGAAGAAATTTGTATATAAAATACATACTGTAACTATATAACAGTAAAATAATTAAAGGCTATATAATGTTTAAACAATACCAAGAGTAACAAACAAACAAAACATCACATAAGCATTTTAACAAAAATATTTCATTACATGAAAGCTCTTAGGAGCAATTTTTTTAATTTCACATCAATCTTAAAGCCAACATCGATTTATACAACATTTGCGCATTATGTACTTTATAATATATTTAAAATATGTACTTTAATTCTTAAGCAAAGGCAAAGAAGCCATTTCACTCAAAGACATCAAAGCAATTATACCTTAAGCCCAAACACCATTTTGAGGAATTGTTCGTAGTGGATAGTTATAACTCCATCTTGGTCAGTATCGTACTGACGGAATGCCGATGTAAGAGTCTGTAAAACATAAAAATTTTATAGTAAAATTCAACAACCAAGTATTGTACTTTGGTACTAGCTTTTGCCTGCGGAATTCAAATAAACCTGTTAAGCAGCCTATGTGTTTTTTTTTCACACAATTTTCTACATCTATACCAACCATCAAGATCCGAAGCTGTTCTGGAGATATTTTTGAACAAACCTTCATTCAAAACATCACAACAAAATTGAGTTTAAGAACTAGCATGAAGTAACTGGTCATCTTATTAACATTATAAATGCTTGGATGGATCGATGTTCTTTAGAAGGTATCTCCAGAACGACTGAATGAATTCGACATAGATGTAGAACATAGCCTAGAAGAAGATTTATTTAAATTTTGCACGGACAGAGTCGCAGGCGACAGCTAGTACTACATAATTTGATTTCATAAGCCATATATCACCATAATTTTTGTAACCTTTATTTACAATTTATTTTTTATTATGTCTAAGTCTATTTTTTCTATTCTGTCAATCTATTGTCATTTATCAAAAACCTTTGAAATCTGATAGTAAAGTAAAAATTTAATAAATAAAAACTCATTATGACTATGATACTTACATACAATGTGATACAGCACTGTATGAAGTCATCAAATAATATAGTGCCGCGCCCAAATCTATCAAACTTATGTACCATTATAGTCACAATTTCATCAGATAATCTGTATCCGAATGCAGTGAGCGCATTCTTTAATTCTTGCTTATCTATATTTCCAGAATTATCTCTGTCAAATGAACGGAAACAGTTCTGCCAATCGCTGACATATTTCCATAATGCTCCAAAGTCTTCGAATGATATAACTCCTCTATTTTGCTTGTCAAACATGCCTACAAATATATTTTATTTTATAATTATGTTTACATTTAAAAACTTTTTGGTAACCCAATGTGTGTAGCACAAGGCCAGGAAAATGATAAACGTTTTTTCTCTAAAATTGCCAAATTGAATGTAATGAAAAGTTAACTGATGAGATATTCAACAAATCCAAAACTCTGACTTTAACTTATTTAAATCTCATGTTCAAATATTAATGACATGCTGCTTATTTCATCATTTCAAGTTCAGTGACAGTTCAAAGACTTTAATGTAGTAATAACCTTTACCATTTTCCAGCCCTAACATTTTTATCATATAAAAGAGAACATATATATACAACTTACCAATCATAAGTCTGACTGTTTCTGGATTGAAGGGATTCCATGTGCCGTTAGACAATGCTTGTTGTAATTCATCAGCAGAAATGTAACCACTACGGTCCTTATCCACTCTGGCAAAATAATATTTCTTATAACAAAATGAAATTTTTACCTAGATTTGTAAATCAAACTTAAACTTGAGGAAAAAGGCCCAAATCTTTGATTAAACTACATGTTCACAATTTAAAATAAGCAAATTATAGTATTCTTATGATAAAAATAAATTCAATAAAAACAAAAATTACTGAGTAGTTAAACATCAAAGTTGTCCTCATTTCCAATTGTTGCTAAGTATTTATTGGTATATAATTGAAAAAAATACAAGGACAACATGCAAGCAACATGATGGCTATTATTATTGACTACTTTATGGAAAAATCTCAGCGAGTTCTTTTTGTTCTATAGTCTTTTATAACATTCAAAGATATTTTTATTACCTTCTAAATATATCCCACAAGAACTCTCTGCTTGGCATTGGTGATTGGAAAGACATTTTAATCTGAAAAATAGTCAAACATCAAAATTAGCAATTATAAAATTATAACAAAATAAAATTATTTGAGTTACTTTCAACATTGAGTTTTAGATAAACATGAAATAAACTCATCATCACATTTTTAATTTCAATTGTAGTAGTTTAGTTTGTCACGATACATATAATCTAATGATATTGTGTTATGAGTCACTCAGGAAAAGAAACTAACAAATCGCCAAATTTTAGCATGAACAAGAAATACTTAAAGGAAAAATATTAACTGTATCAATTTCAACAAAAGCAATTAACAAAAATTCTTTTGTAATAAATCAAATCCTTATGAAATATCTAGTAATTTCACTTACAGCACTTGTAAACAACTATAAATTTTAGTAAACTACAATAAAGTACACACCAATGTACAATTATAATGCAGCACGAGCGCAAATTTTCGTATTTCAGTACGTTATATAATTAAAAAGTATTAGTAAAAGAAGTACAGTCACACGAAACTACTAACCCCGCAATATAATTGCTTTTATTATTAACAAAAAAACACCAAGGAACTCCCATATGTCTCTCACTGACACGTTTCGACGTTTGACCAAAGACTAGACAAAATAGATTATACAAGGTTGTGTTAGGTTGGTTAGAATTGCCATTCAGATAAAGTGAGCCTACCTTTTTTAATCTGTAGTCTGGACTCTACTCTTCTAACCAAGGACAACACCAAAACTATGAGTTGCTTTGCTTTGATACCAAAATGGCCGATGTCTCAAGCAATGATCGGAAAACAAAACTTGTAAAGTTAAATAAAAACGGAAAAGTTGTAAAAAGACGTTCACGGAACCCAGAAGGTAATATGTGGGTCTATGAAACTACACTTTGTGTCTTATGGTTTTCAGTATGTTTCACTTCATAATCCTTTTTTCTTATTGTTTAGTTCACAGTGTAATATACAATATTTGACTCTTATTACTTTTTTGATATGAAATTGAAGTTTCTGTGTTATGATGAATATTTTTGTAATAATGTAGGCATTTCTGCAGTTAAATTTTCATAAATGAATGAATTTAATGAAAGCTGATACGTAGTCTGCTTATTACTAATATTATACTTATTAATACTTAAATGTGTATTCAATTTTGATAATAAGGAGGGAATGCAAATTAAGGCACGTAACTGTCATACTATTGAACATTTAATCTAGTTATTAATCGTTTCCGTCATCAATTTCAGAATGGCACAAACAAAAACAGAAACGTTTAAGAATTGCAGGCTTAGAATACATAAATGCAAACGGAAAAGTTGTACCGCCAAAAAAACCAGGACCTGATTGCAATTGTAGGCGAAAATGCTATCAAAGGGTCCCTGAAGATGTTCGGCTGAAAACATTCCAAGGTTTCTATTCAATGAAAACGCATGATGAACAAAATGCTTATTTATTTGGTCTAATGAGACAAGTAGATGTCAAAAGAAAAAGAGTTAAAACAAGCAGCCGACGGACTTGTACCTTTGAGTACTTTGTCAGAGTGAAGGGAAGAGAAACACAAGTATGTCAAACAGCTTTCAAAAATATACATGCAATAACTGAGAGAAAAGTAAGAGTGCTTTGTAAAAAAATGGATGATGGTGTAATGTTTCCTAGTGATAATCGAGGTAAAAATAGTCATCGAAGATCTGGGGAAGTGCGACTTCCAAATGGTGTAGTTGAGGAAATCAAGAATCATATTTATTCTATTGTCCATACGCACAGACTAAAAGATTTCATTAGATTAGATAAGATTGCCGGTTTAGAAATCAATATATCTAAAATGTGGAAAGACTATATTAAAACATTTGATCCAGATAATATAACTGCCACTATGCCAAAATCAAAAAGAAATATGGAAATTGCTTTACCAAATGAACAACCACCAGTTCTACACCAACCAGAGACCTTTGCTAATATTGCCCCATATCCAGGGAGTGGTCATCTTGTTAATATAGCTGAAAATTACTTTCAGAATCAATACCAGACAACAGCTTTAACAACAGCATCACAGGCTAATTTTTATCAACCACAAAATAACACTCATGGCATGGGTATCATTGTCCAATCAACCAGCCTAGCAAGACCAGTCCAACCCACTGCCTTTATTGTTGTCCAAACAAAAAGTGAGCCCCAGCCTGACGCTACTTTAGCTATAAGTGACATATCATATAATCAAAATGCAGATGTCATTCAAGAAGTGGTATCCAAACAAGAGAAGAAAGTTAAAAAAGAAAGGAAAAAGGGTCCTCTGGTGAAACAATGGAGGTATTCCAATATATTTCATGATGAAATTAATGGTGCTGCACTTGCTGCAATAAAGACTAGACTTGGTATGTACTATGCTGAAAGCGATGCTGCCAGGAAGAAAGCTAAGCAGGCTCGACCACCAGACATGGTGCAAACCAATCAAATCCCACAGGAACAAGTTAGGCCCACACACACACTCACCTTATATACTTGAAACATAGATTTAACTTGAATGTTGAAACTTCTGCCTTCAATCATGCTAAGATTAGAATTATGGTAAACTTTTACATTTACTATGAACATTAATAATCTTAGTGTATAGTCACTATCTTACAATATAGATTTAAGTTATTTAAACTCATACATAACAATGTAAGAGGGTTATACAAATTTTTTATATTCTTTTTTAGCTTATTGCTGCATATCAGAAAATAATGTTTCATTAAATGTAACTTAGTTATATTTTAAGATGTTAATGTTATGATCATAAATATAGCATCCCAAATCATTATTCTGATATGATGTCCTTAAAGTGGTTTAGTAAATAAAATGCCCCTGAAAGTAGTATTTTCGTGACCGCAAATTAAGATTAGAACATTTCTTTTTAGTAGAAAATAACTTATCTTTCAAAATTATTTTTTATTTAGAAAGGAAACTCATTCTGTGATTATTACTATATTCTCCATTTTAATAGACATATGACCTGTTTGAAAATGCAAAAACAAAAATTGTAGTACTGTACTAACTTATTTATTGTAAAAATTTAATCTTTGAATATTTTTCAAGCCGAAGCTGTGCTTTCAGCAATCATATTTGAAAAAGCTTTAATTCTTTTGACACATCATTTTCACTAAATGCAAAATAAAGTTTTAAGAAAACAAATTGTAACATTGATGTTATTAATGCAATAAATGACAAATAATTATAGAAATTAAATTGTGTAAGAGAACATGCTTTATATAAGTCATTTTAAGATTATATTAATGACATTTATTTTAAACACATTGTTTTATTAAAGTCCTAACATTTAAGCTAAAAAGGCTTCGGTTGTGTTGCGAAAACCATAGCCTCGTCACTGTCAATATTAAATTTACCTCAGTATTTTTGGTAAAGTAAAGAGAAAAACCATGAAGTTTTTAAATTTTTATTTGTAAACTTAAGTTACGCTGACAATACACATACTCCACCAACATCCTTTATCTTCTTCTCTGCTGTCTTTGAGAAGAATTTCGCCTTGACAATGACAGGCTGTTTGGGAAGTTTGCCTTTACCCAGGAGTTTGTAGTAACCCTAAAAATTAATCATTAGATTAAACAAAATAGATTAGGAAAATGGCATGCTTAAAACTAATGACTGCCAAAAGAACTGAACTATGGGAATTTACCTTTAGTATTATTGTGATTGATTATAAAATAGAAAAGTTATATTTCATATTCACCAAATATGATTGAGTAAATGAATGGGAAAAAGCTACTATGAAATAAAAGTAATGTGACCTTTTAGCAGTAGACGGGTGAGTACAATTTTTTTTTTACATTTGGATCTTTTAGATTGATTACCCAAAATTCTAACATGATATGAAATCATAGAACTTGCCACTTAAAAATCTTTTATACAAAAATAAATTTGCCAAGTTAGCTGGATGTGTTCAAAAACTTACAGCCTTGACAATGTTGATGACGGGAACTTTGCCATTGGTAGCATTGGAATATTTAAGTCTGGTCTGCTCTGACACTAGTGTCCAAAGCTTGTCCAAATTCAACACAGGGCAAAACTCCTTGTTCCGCCTCAAGTGATAGTTTCGCATACCAAGCTGGAAATACAAGACATTGGTAATATTAGACAAAATAAAATTTGTGAAGCAACTAACATGTCATATTCTTATTAATGTGGAAAAGTTAGTACAGAATATTTATCACTGAATTACGATTATTTTGCTAAAACCACAAATGGTATATTGTTTACGAACATTGGTAAACTATAAAATACATTAATCTACATACAGAGGAATTAGTAACTTAAAAACTCCTGGACTAATTTCAAACACCCTTTTTATTAAAATCACAGAGTAACAGGCTATATTTATTTTTTCACTAAGATATCCTATTTATATTTCCGCACGGACGAAGTTGGGGGCAAAAGCTATAAAAACATATAGTCTCCTGAAAAATTACTTGGAACAATGTTCAACTTTCAATTATATGGATATTTATGTTGATTGCATGGTATTGATATTTTGTAAATCGTAAATACCTTTCCAAAGTATCCTGGATGGTACTTGTCCATGTTGATTCTGTGGTGATGTTCACCACCGGCATTACCGCGACCTCCAGGATGCTTACGGTGTTTACCTGAAAGTTTAGGGAACAGCATTTAACTTTATGATCGAGATGTAAAGTTTATAGTAGGTAAACCAAATTCTAGGTTATAACTAGGTTGTTATTTGTACGACGCATAACAAGGAAAGTAATATTTACCGATACGACCGTGTCCATGGCTCACATGTCCTCTCAGCTTCCTAGTCTTCTTCTTAGATGTGGCCTGCAGAATAACACAAAATATTATCAAACTAACTTTTGGCACAATTACAGAAATATAAATTTCTTCTTATAGTTTTTCACTTATAACACAATATTAAACTCTAATTTGGAACAGTTATTATATGATTATTCAAGTATAAACAGATAATTTTAAAAATTCTAACACCAACCATATTTTCGGCTTCCGTCAAGACTTTGCAAAAGAAAGAGAAAGATGCTCTTGAGATGTCAATGTCAAATTGAAGTTGAACTTCCAGTAGTGTTGCTAGGTACAAAAACTTATGAGTTTTATTGGTAGTTTTTATTGCTAAAGCCATTTTGATCATAATATGTAGGTATTTTAGACGTCTATACCTATAATTAACTTTAAATTGATAAACAGAAACAATAACTGCAATAGAAAGTCAATTTTACTTGTCTTATCGAAGCAGGAACAGTTTTTTTTTAATCGAAACATGTCGAAAATATACAGAAGTGTATTTTTTAAAAGTAAGTGATTTTTCTTTCTTAGCACGAATAAAAAGAAACATGTATTGATCTACCTAATCTGTCTATTTATTTCTTTCTAAAAGAACAGCTGGTAGTTATTGGGTAAAATGGTGCGTTTATTGATTTTGACACCATTTAATAATCTGTAATCTATGTCACTTCAGGTTTTATTTTTGCTCGGATCAAATATCATTAATCTGTGCTCAGTACGTTTCCAGAAAATGGTCGGATTGTGTGTCGATGTCTGACACGTACTTCGCAAAAAATCGTAAATAATCTCAATAAAGTTTATCATGCTGTAGTGACTGATTTCTAATTATCAATAACACAAAACCAAAACAGTAAAAATGGAGTTTCGCGAAACATTATTAGCTGCCCAACGAAATCAACAACAGAAGTCATCTGTAAGTTTTGCTACACTTATTCTTATTTCGCGATAATTCTTCTGTTAACATTTATACATACTACGTTTTAAATTAGCATGGCTGTAATATTGAATCCAAAGTACTTAAATATAAACTCAATTTTATGATTTAGCAAAGACCTAGAATTTATACATTCATTGTTGACTGCAGTTTACATCTGTTTTTTTCTAAAAAAATCCTCATTATGACATTACAGGAAAGTTATTATTACAAAGCACGGTTTGATCCTCCTAAAAAGGAACAAAAGGTAAAAGATAAACTTTCAGCAAACATACAAAAGTTTCTGGCAAAAAAAGAAGAGGAAGAGAAACAAAAACAGTTGGAGGCTCAAAGGAAGCGCGAGGAGCTGATTGCTATGCGTGATCCAAAAGCATTACGGAAGATTCAAAAGACTCTTAAAGTAATTAAGTCTGCCAATAAGTCTGTATTAGAAGATGCAGTTGATAGAAATGATACTGCTGTCACTCGGGATGGACCTGAGCAACCTGATCAAGATGATTATGGTTATGTGTCTCAGGAGGCGACTGCTCTATATGAGAAAATGATGGAGAAATACAGTAAAATACCTGATGAACCAAAATTTTCTACAAAAAGTAAGTTATAAATGATTTTTAACTATAAATTTACTTTCTATTGAACATAATTATTTAAGTTTGGTATACCTAGTTTTTACTCGGTTTGTTATATTTGCGTACTTCAATTTGTAAATTAGTTCAAGGTGATCAATACTTCTTTTTTTTCCAGTGAATTCAGTAAGCAAAGATCTCAATGGCACAAGGGAAAGAGTCAAAAATGCTTTGCAACATGAAGATGAGCCAGTGCCACATAAAAGGAGGCGCAGGGGTGATAATGGTGATTAGTACTTATTTCAATTGCGCTGTCAAAGCAATATATTTTGTGAACAAACTTTTCATAATTGTATTATACAAAACAACATTTTTATAATACATAAAACTGCAACTATTTACTCTTATTGGTGCAAAATGTCTACTGATTTCATTATCACTCACAAGTACATAGTTAGTAATAGTGATAGTGTTATAAAAACATAGCAGACTTAAGCCATATAAAAAAGAAGTCTCCTTATTCATTATCATTTGTGCATCTTCTTTCAAAACAATACTGTTCATAATTTTAGAAAATTAAGATAGCCACTCATTAACCACCTTATACTTTAAAAATGCATTTGTTTTTTTTTTAGATAAAGAACTAAGTCCGCCACCAAAATACGAACCAGAAAAGAAAAAAGATGACAAAACGGACAAGCCAAAAATAAGAAAACCAGCCCCTCCACCAATGGACTTCAATCAACTACTCAAACTTGCTGAGAAGAAGAAAAGTGAACCAATAGATGTAATTGCAAAAAAACAAACAGCTGAGCCGGAACCTGACCGCTTAATGACTAAGAAGCAGAAGAAAGATTATGAAGATGAAATGGCTCGACGTCAGCGTCGGCAGGAGCGGATTGAAGCAGAGAAAGGAGCGACGCGGAAAGGTATTGTAATAAATCCTTAACTTGGACTCAGTAGTTGAAAGTTACATTTCCACCATTCCTTGACTAGTCAACTATTCAAACAATGTCAGACCTTATTGTCTGAACTGCCACTGCCACATCAAAGGCATAGATTCTTTACTTAAGGATATTCATACCAGTCCCTTAGACTATGTGTCTTGTAATATGTTGCAATATTATTTCATATTTTGGTTTTTATGGTACATGTCATTGGTATGTTACAGTTATATTATTGTTTTATTAACAATATATGTATATATTCTATTTTCCTTATGCCTCTATGACCCTTGAATTGTAATTCCTATTGTCAAGGGAAGTGTCTTGCATGTTCATATAGGCTTAGTGATTTACAAATTTTACCATTCATAATAACACTATGTCAGAGTCCAAATTTGTTTCATTTGTTTTTTCTAATCTATCTTTTGGTTTTCTTTTTCAGCCCCAAGAGATGAGAAGCCTGTGGAAAGAGAAAAGAAATTGGATCCCAGTGGTATCGGCCGTATACCAAAGCTTAGTGACAAAAACTCTGCTAATCATAAAAATGAAAACTCAAAACCATTTGTAAAAGAAAAAGAACGAGGTCCAAGTGACAAGGAAAAGGCTGAAAGACTTCAACGGGAGAAAGAAAGAGCTAGATTAGAAAAACATAAAGCAGAAAGAGAAAAAGAGAGACTAGATAGGGAAAGATTAGAAAAATTAAAAGCTGAGAGAGAGAAAATAGATAGGGATATTGAGCGACTCAATAGAGATAGGGACAGATTAGAAAAAACTAAATCGAAACTGGAAAGCAAAAGTTCAACTGAAAGGTTGAGCAAGCCTGTGAATAGTTCAGTGGATAGATCGAAGTTAAATGCTAGAGAGCAACCGCCTAAGCAAGAAGTGAAGAAAAGTATAGATTTAAAGAGCCAAAACACATATCGGATAGATAAAAATCAAACAGAGAAGAAGATTTCAATTCCAAGTAAAAGTGGTGATACAAGACAGAGCAACGGTTACGGCCCACAAGGAAAACCTGCGCTTAAGACAAATAAAGAGATGCCACAACGGAACGATAGGGATAAAGTTTTACAAGCTAAACAAAAGATGCTCAGTAATGTACCAAGCAAAAGTAATGGGCACGTAAGGCCCGATGGTGCCAAACGCTTGCCAGAGACTGGCAGAGAAATGCCGGTTAAAAGGCCAGAGGATAAGAAACCAGTGCCAAATTCAAAATCGTCTGCGGGACCGAGTAAGCCAAGTATTGGGAACAGTTTTGACTTTGATAAACATGTTAATTCCATTGGTAAAAACGGCGGGCGACAGTTCCCGCCCGGCGACGTCCGGAGAAAACCTCGCCCTGATGATTTAAAACGAAAGAAACGTAAGTTTTTGCATACCTCCAGATGTAAGTTCATGTTGGTTTTATTACAAAAGTAGAAATTATATTCAATGGACGTATTATTTCAGGTCGTACGGTGGACTCGGAATCGGACTACGACTCAGAAATGGATGATTTTATCGATGATGGAGACGAGAACATAGATTATTCTACGCACATCAAGGAGATATTTGGTTACGACAAATCTAAGTATGTTGTTCCATACAAACTAGAGTTTTGCTCTGGGTTGCATTTTATATTAAAGATCTTGTTTTTACCATTTTTATGACTGTTCTTAATTTTATAATTTTTTCTCATACCAGGTACCGATACATGGACGACGACGATGATCCAATGATGGAATCTAGTTTTGCCAGACAACAACGTGAAGAGTACATTAGTAAGAAAATTGGTAAGTACTGAAATTCATAAAAATGACAAACACGAATTCAGATTCAGAGTCAATGCGCACAGTCTGCAATTTTTTTTTATTTTAGTCCTTTATCTTTCTGGTAATACTGCACTACCATAGACTTTTGTACCATAGGCAATTACAGACTAAAATATTGTAAGAAAAAAAAAATTACGAATTCGTTTTAAAAAAATAATGTTAAATGGTATTTCTTAAATAGCATTTTTTATAATATTTTTCATCCAGGTATCATGGAAGATTTGGAGGACATGCGTATGGAAGCAATGGAGAAAAAGAAATCGAAGAAGAGACGAATTAGTGACGACTGAACGTAACTAAAATATGCATGAACCGGACCAAGATTGTAATAATAATTTGCTTATGTATTGTAAAGTCGTACATAGTGAAACTGCCCGCGAGTGAATGGTCGAAGCCAAAATGTGATTTTATTGTATGAATAAGAGTTTATTACATAATTATATATACGCTGACTTAACACAACTTAACTGTACAGATAACTATTTTGTTAATTTAAGGGTATCTTGGTTAAATATAAGATGCAGGCCATACATATAGAACCTATAGATGAAGTCGATTTTCGAAATAACATTTTGTTTTGTAAATATAAACACAGATAATTTATCTCAACAAAAGGCTTCCGAAACTCTAGAAGCAATTTCCCCTCACTTTAGTGTTCCAGATTAGGAATCTATAGGTTATATGTGTATGCATTCAGCCTTTTGTTTAACTACTGTCGGGGATTTTGTACTTTAATGTTGTAATTTTCTCCTTTCTAAAGCAATAGATTAAGGATGATTATTTCATTGCATTGTATGATAGTGAACTGTGAATTAAAAACACAGTGTGTATCATAATATAGATATGTTAATATTCAATTTTCTATCTGTATAGGAATAATTTTCCAAACAATTTGATGTAATGTTTGATGCTAAACCGATAACAAAAACTCACTTTATCAATTTAATATAATATAGTACATATAAATAATAAACAACAGATACATAATTTAACTCTTAAATAGCCACTATATTATTGCACAAGACAAGGGATTTCTGGTAAAATAGTCATTGGTTTATCAACTATCTAAAACAAATTTTGTCTTTATTGTTTTTAGATTTTAAATTTTGTAAGATTATCTCCTGACATGTTTTTGGATCTTAATGATTGTAAAAGTAAATTATTACGCTCGCCACGACTATGGTAAAAAAATTGAATGGGCGCTTTTTTATATTTTGCAATTGTTTCTTTAATTATTTTGCTATTTGGAATGTATTGTATTTGTGTGCTTCAAAATATATTACAAATGTTTGTTATATTGTCCTTGTTAAAATTTTATCAGTTTTAAATGGCATGAAATGAAATGAAAAAAAAATGTTATAAAATATACATACCTTCAAAACGCATTTATGATATTTTATTGCTATTAACGGTTATGATTATGGAACAGTTGGTTTAAAATAATCACTGATTAACATATTTAATTTTGGGAATTTCAAACCTTATACCTGACTTCTAATCCTCATTTACTTAACTTCAATAATGAAAGCAAATAAGTTTAGTCCCACTTTTCTAGCTTCTACATCATTTGGTCGAAGAAGAACATTGACACCGTTAATTGCGACGATTTTAGGTTCCAGTTTCCTCCACTTTGCAGATATTATGTTCGTCGAACGCCTCACCAGATTTTTTATTCTTCTAGCTCAGCAACTTGCCGAAGACCGGACCAGACCGGACGAAAAACTTTTTAAAAATTTCAACGAAAAAAAAATTAAAGAAAATTAAAATTTGGCATGAAGTAATGGCAACACCTAATACATTCAGTCAATGTCTCCAAATGTCACAAATATTTCAATTTCAAATTTCAATTCTGTTTTCAAGGACAAGGCTATATTGATAGTAATTCGTGTTCTTATAAATTACAATCAATTACATTCATATTGGAATCTGAGTGAAAGCCCCGTCTGTATACAAAAATTTTAATTCCTCTTATCATTAAAAGATAACGTTTCAGTGTTTTAAATTTTGTTGTTAAATAATCGTCATTGAGGTACGAATTTTAATATTGTGTGATTAATAATTTGTTTTTATTTATTTTTGCATATTTTATATTAACATGTTAATTTAATCAGTATAAAGTAGAATCTGTTTAATTTTGTCTTATAGCCATGTCAAGTCAAAATAATGAGACTGACTTATTGAAAAGTATTGACGATGTACCTGAGTTGAATAAAGAGAATGTTCATATTCCGAACAAGGAAGAATTGTTGCATAAACTGAACAAAATGATTAAGGATGGCCACAGCAAGCTACAGATCGTGACTGACTTTGATCACACTTTAACCAGACACACAATGGATAATGGCAAATCTGTGTTAACTAGTTTTGGTAAACAATTCTTATAAACCTAATTTAATATAAATAATTACAAATTTATCTTACTACAGTGAAATATTATGGATTCTAACGTTTTAATTTTTCTTTGAGTAATGCTATCCTTAAAATAGTAATTTCTTAGTGTTAGTGTTACTTGTGATCCCACAAATGTTACAAAATATTAGCTGTGTAATTTTAGATATTTTTATACTGTATGTTATATTTTTCTACTTCCAGGCATGTTCCGGGAATGTCCATCAATTCCTCAGGACTATAAGGATGAGGAGATTAGGCTGGCCTCAATATATAAGCCGATAGAAGTGGACCCAGTTATGAGCATTGAGGAGAAAACAAAGCACATGATTGACTGGTATCAGGCAGCGCACAAACTATTGCAGTAAGTATACTTATGTTAGCAGTGGTCACTTCACTATTTTAGGAATTTCTCATGGCCACTTGTTCCTTTCCCATCTTCTTGCATTTAAAAATATATATTTTATTGTTTAAAGTAGTTGCTAAGTCTTAAATTAAACTGATTTCATCATTTGCAGAGGAATGAAATTTCCCAAGCAGGAGTTAATGGATATTGGGTACAAAATGGTGGAATGTTTTAGGTAAGTTATAAAGTAAATAAAAGTCAGAACTAAGTAAAAAACTTTTTCTCATACAACAGTTTATTGCCCAACTCGTAATGTGGCAACACAATGCAATATTGTTTCTCATTGTTGTAATGAATATTGCTAACAACAAGATAGTATTGTTGTAACTAAGGAAATATAAAAACAGATAATGTCTGTTAAAATTGTCTGAAATAGAAATCAAAGTTATTTGTCAACCTTTCTGGTTTAGCTTTTAATAAGCAAATTGAAGATAATTATTTAAGAATTAGCTATTTACCTTTATTGGCTATTTACTTTCATAAAATAAAATGGGTATTTTAATTTAAACTTGAGGTCTATTATATGTACTAATGTTTTATTGTGTTATTAGGATTATATTTTGCGCCGTCGTGTCTGTTTTGTTTATAAAGACATGTACATAAAATTAAACACATCTTAGATCATATTTTGTACAAGTAAATGATTTTTCTCTGATGTAAAATTGCAATAAAAAATATTGTGGTCTAAACATTTTTTGAGATACTCGACATTTTTTGACATGTGTGTTCAGGAGGGGCGTGCAGGAGCTGATCCTGTGGAGCCAGCGGCAGCAGGTACCAGTGCTGGTATTCTCTGCAGGCCTCGGAGAGTCAGTGCTTGCCGCACTCAAGGCTGCAGATTTTCTGTTGCCACATGTTAAGGTAAAGATCTCTTTTTTTTAATACTTTAAATGTTCACGACAAGTCTCATTTTGTAATTATAAGATATTTTTAAATTAAATGTGAATTTTTAAGGTCCGTAAATAATATTTATGAAAATTCCTTGGTGAAATCTGTATCTGGGAAATTTTACAAGTCATTCAGACAGACATTCTTATTTGAATCATTGCCAACTGTAGCATTCGTTACGTTATATTTGGTTCGTTCACGTACCGACACGTGTTGCCGGCCCAAAGATCTGACATCGACTGACGACCCATCTCTCTGGCATGTACTTATGGCGTGTACGCTCGAGACAAACAACACTACGTTTATGCATACACTACACCAACTATTTAAATAATGAATTCTGCATATATCGCAAGAGAATGAATACAAATTGTTAAATAAATTCTTAGGTGATATCAAATTTCCTGGCAATGGACGAGTCTGATACAATAGTGGGTATCAAGGGTGAGGTTATCCACACATACAACAAGAACGAGGCGGCGATCAAAGACACGGAGTATTTCTCTCTGGTGCGAACAAGACACAACGTTCTACTGATGGGAGACAACATCGGCGATGCCGGCATGGCGGAGGGCATGGACCACTGCGACGTCGTCCTAAAGATCGGCTTCCTCGGCCGCAACGCTCGTCCCAACTTGCAGAACTACCTCAACAAGTTTGATATTGTGTTGGTGGACGAGCCCACCATGGATGTACCTAATGCTATACTAAAACGTTTGTTGTGATTTAAGACTAATTTTAGTTAATTTGTTTTTATTTAATAATTCTCGTATGCATTGCGAATGCATCTGATGAGATATCGATTTTGTTGACAGCATAAAGTGGAAATATTTCCATGCATTATGAAGGTCTGTTGAATTACTTTGTATATCAAATGTGCTTTATATATGCATCTTTTTTTATTCGTGAAACTATTTTATTAGTAATTTTTACTATACACCAACAATGGTATTATACTAAAATGTCTTGAGTCTGAATCATAAATTACAGTTTGTGGAATAAGAAAAAGTTTGGTAAAAATATAAAACAAACAAACTAACATTTTTTGCGAATGGATTTTTTATAACATAAATATTAAGAATTTAAATTTATTTGTACCATTTGTATGATTGTTGATTTAAAATTTGGCTTTTATTTGGCTTAAAATTATTTTAAACCTTACTCTAAGTACAGGTTTAAAGATAAAATTCGAAAGGTGCTTTTGATTTATGAAACTTGTTATTATTTTTATTTGTTTTTTAAATCTATTGCGGTTGTTTATAATTCTATCTTATGTTTATAAAACAAAACGGGTCAAGGCAATTTGCCTCATTACGTAAATATCGATGAAACGATCGAGTGCAGGGGATTGCGAAAATAAATAAAACAATTTTAATGAAATTAAATATTTTGTTATTATTATAAAACAACACGTACGGACAAATTGTATTTTCTAGTCATTGCGATGCACTAACCCCCCCTCCCCCTACCCCCTCCTCCACACACACGCAACATTCACTTTCATTACTATCACAACATAAATGCAGTTTCGTCGTTTTATAAAATGTTTGTAATGATTAATTATTTGATTATAAATTTTTTATATAATAATTCCAATGACAAAGCAATTGTTAAATGTTAAATTAAATAAAATAAAATTGAAGACTTTCCAAAGCATTTCCTATAACTTGGATTTCGGTGGTCATTACCTAAGCGTTATATATTAGACATCAATAAAATAATGTTGGTAACCCTGACACATAGACAACAAGTTGCTACAACAAACTCATTGTGACCGTGAAATTCCACTGCTCTAGTACTTGTATTAAAATTTACTCTTGTTACTGTTTTTCTCAAAGAATATATAAAGGCGTCGCCACCTGAAGATCTAGGTCTGGGTGGAATTTTTATATCTGTTTTACATTTTTCAATTCTCTAGACGAGGCGGGGCAACAGCCCCTCCCTAACACCCCCTGGAGACGCCCATTTTGATACAAGTGCTACGACAGTGGAAATCCACGTTTATGGAAGATCTCGGACACGCAATAACTTATCAACGACAATAGAAACTCTGCAAAGTACTACAAACTCTTTCGATGACAAAAGACTAGGCACAATTTTCAATACTGCTCAATAAGGTCACCGGCAAATATCTTGAAAAAAATTAATTTAGTATATTTATAAAGGCTAAGTACCTCGCAATTTGTTTTTTTTTAGTTGTCAAGTTATTTGCCGGTTTACATTCATACCAACGATACTGTAACAAGCTTAAATAAATTATCATGAAATATTTTCTAGATATGTCTAATTTTCAAAAAAAAAACGTATACAGAAACAAGCACGAACGGTCGCCGAGTGAAAAATTCTTTTTAAGTATTTTTTTTTCACTTGACGGTCGCGATTATATTCAATACTTAGATATATCTACGATGTTTTCTAAAAATTTTTTTCCTGAGTAAAAATCAGTTGAATCCTTAATTATGAAGATTTTCAAACACCAATAACAATTCCACCAATATTATACGTTCCTTCGCATTCTGTCCGTTGTCAAGATTGTACACATTCACAAAAAAAAAAACAACTAAACGACCAAATTATATGGCAAGAAAATATAAACAAAATTATTAATTACAAATATAAGAAACACAAATAAAATCCAGCGTTGCAATCGTAACTGAATGACTGGAAAATACATATTTTTCATCACAATACCCTAATTCAGTTTAACAGAACAAATTAGAAGCTCTAAAATAAACAACAGTCTTAGTACATACAAGTTATTTACACAAAGATTTATTTTAAATATAAAAAATATCCTACTATACATGTAACAATCGCCCATGTAGAAATATATAATTTGTCACTATGTACAACAACTAGAAATAGTATTAAAAATAGTAATTTGTTTAGGAATCATCTAGTCACGAAAGGCAGTGCTAGGCAAGAAATACACTACGCGGCGACACGAGCGGCCGCCGCGTGGACAAGGCACTTTGTTTATACTGTTACATTTTTTTACTTTTAAATAAATATGCTTTATGAATACGTGTTTTATTTCAATTGATATCAAAATATATTAAACAGATATGAAAAGGTTAACAAAAATATTAGAATATATGTTAATAGTACATGAGGATTCGAAGTTTAAATGATGCTGATCTTATTTAGTTAGATGTCGTAAAATGAGGTAAATATTTAGTGTATTTCTTGCCCCTGAGACAGCAATGAAACCTGAAATCGTCCAGTCTCCGGCAAGGCAGCGGGCTCGATTACCAAACGAAATACGTGGAGACGATTCACTCCACAATATATAAAAATACTTGTTTTATATCACCGATCACTGTTGCGCTATCACTCCAAATCACAATGAACACCAATAGTTACACTTCTAGTGTAGACAAATATTTCTACGTTTTGTCCCTTGCAGAATGGCGTATGTTTAGTATCGTTAAATAAATTAGTTCCGCAATATTAAGACAGTATCACATCGCCGTAAGTCCATCGACCATCCGACAAGGAACATAACGCAGACAAACCCTGATTGCATGGGGCAAGCGAACTTCTCTAAACTTCCAACTCTCGATTTCTCTTTCCCACAAGAAGCGGAACATAAGTACAATAATTGCATAGTACAGTGCCGGCGAGCCGCGGTGGCTCCGAAGCGTTGACAATACTGAACCAAATAGAATACTATGTTCGCAGCGAACACTATCGGCAGAGAACAGATCTTGGAAGAGCGCGGGCCGGAGCTGGCGCGCGCTAGGTACACACAGTACAGACTAGAAAAGTTAACTTAAACGTGTAAATCCTCGTGTCGTTCAACCGGCGAGCACGTCTTCAGCTCGCCACAAATTAAATTAATACAAACATTAGTCGTCTGCCCGGTCACGACTGACGCATTGGTCCCGCTTTATTGGTACAAAAGCACAATATATTACTCTATAATTATATTACAAATAGTTCTAATGACAGATCACAGCCTGGGTTCAAATTAAATAAAAGGAGGCGACGTCACGTGATGGCCGCCACGTCCGAGTTCGTCTTCTGCAGACCGTCCTCGTCCGTCGACCTGCACACGGAAAATAAACGAATACATTACAACTGTGTATGTAATGTTGTATCTACATCAATATACCAAAATTGTTATATTAGGAGTTTGATATATGTATGTATGGTGAATGTATGACGCGTACCTGTAGACGTGCGCGGAGGCGCTGGTGGTGTGGTAGGTGGCGGCGTAGGGCAATCTGCGCGGGCGCCGCCGGCGTGCCAACACGGCTCGCCGCAGCGCGCCCGGCCGCACCGAGTTGCGCACCGCGTGCCACGCCAGTCTGTAAACAACATAACATCTATATATTTGCCTTATTAACAGTATAGTATCACTACCAATGTGGGGATAACCGAATGTACATGTACGTGAATCTCGCATTTTTTTTATATCATAAGGTGGCAAACGAGCGAGCGGCTACCTGAAATCGCTGAAATAGCGAAGTGACCGTTGCCCATAGACATACGCAATTGTATATGCGTTGCCTACCTTTAATCGACGGAGGAGAGGATGCAGAGAAAGAAAATATTTTCCCTTCCATGCATCCTCTCTTCCGGAAAGTCCACTTCCACTTCCCATCCTTTCCTTATGAGAAAAAGGGTGGGAAGGGAAAAAGGACTAAATTAGGCCTCCGGGACGCACAACTAATTTATATCGCTGTTAAAGTTGTGTTTATATGTGTGTGACAGAAAGATGGACAGAGAGAGATATACGTTATATTTGTGTGTGAGAGAGAGACAGCGTACCTGGGTGCGAGCGCGGCGACGGTGGTGAGCACGAGCAGCAGCCAGTACATGGGGTCGGCGAGGGCGTGGTGCATGACGCGGTAGGTGGAGGGCAGGTTGAAGCAGGACACGCACACCGACTGGTACATCAGCGTCAGCACGAAGAACGATATCAGCGAGCCCGACAGCGCCACCACGTGGATCACAGTCTGACAACGCATACATCAAACGTATTAGCTCACAGTTTCATATGTTATGTACAATCAGGGAATTTGGCAGTATTCCACCTTACAAGATACAGTCGTTTGAGTGTTTCTTGCACATTGGTATGTCGACGCGGAACAAATTGAACGCAGCTTTTAAATGTGTCTGTGCCAAATCAGGTCGATCAGTTTTAGAAGACTAATTGTTTTTTTATTATTAGCATCTAATTGTTAATTTCTAAGGCATACGGTTATTTGTTAGAAACGAAGTTAATCTTGTTAAGTGGAACATTACATATTTCCCCGATTGTTCAAGCAATAGTCTTAACACGTATTTCTTATAAGAAATATTGCTCATTATCAACTCATCGTTATTGTTTGAATTTGTGGAAGAAGTACCCGTGTATCGTTATCTATAGATAGAGTACCGTAGTGCTCTCAATCAGTGTAGTGCTCACACGGTGCAGTACACACACCAAAACTCTATCACTTACAAGTTTCATATCGAAACGCTGCATGCAATGCAATAAACACATAAGTTGGATGACTCTTTAAAATCTTACATTTTACTTTTCTCCTTTTCTAACCTTAAAAAGTTGAACAAAATTTTCCATCAATAGGTTCATCGATACCAGTGAAATAGTCTAGCGAGGAAAAAATAAGTTTGTGACTATTTTGCGCCATGAATAGAGTACTAACCCAGCTCCTGGTCTCGATGGCGACGTAGACGAGCATGACGAGCAGACAGCAGGTCATGTTGACGAGGCCGAAGAGCCAGATGTCGACGTCGGTGTCCCAGTAGGCGCTGGCGGCGCTGAAGAATATCACCACACTGATGTAGACGGACTCTGCCAGCACGGCCCAGTAGGAGTGCGCGCGGTACGCCAGCCCGCGCCGCGCCGCCCCGTACAGGCCCGGCCGCTCCGCCAGCAGCGCAGCCGGCGCTGACCGGTCGTATGCACCTACACAAATTATTATTTTACCTTATACCAGGTTTCTGACATTGGTAGATGGGCGCTTATAACTTCTAAGGGTTACCAGTGAGCAAAAATTTTCTTATTACTACCTAAATATGTGTACCGTCCATATGGTAACTTACACCAACTGATGACCAGAGTGTTGTCTCTTGTAGCAATTTTTTACTATTTTTTTATTTACAGATAAATAAATACATCACAGATTAGCAAATGATGATAAATAAATAAAATAAAAATGATTCTTTAGTGTTTAATTTTTACCTATGACTATTGGGGGGAAGGCGGTGAACATGAGGTTGTAGGCCATGAGATGGAGCTGGTCGATCATCACCATAGAGGAGAAGCCGCAGTAGAACTGGTACCAGAACACCAGGAACACGAACGTCTGACCAACACGCAAATAAAGAAAACAAGGTAAATAACGGACAAAAGTTCACACAAAGAATTCATCAATTAAAAAATAAATTATTCAGATATATTACACAAAGTCACGTGATCTAATTTGTTATATACAGGGAGCCAATCTTTATCTTCAAATCTACATTACTGTATAGCTTATCTCTCCACTTCATTAAACTTTTGTTATTTGTCATTAAAATGACGTTAAACTCACGGCATTCTTAAGGAAGAAGTATAGAATCATGCGCGCAAGACGGTCGTAGCACCAATGTCCGTGCACCAGCAGCAGCCGCTCCAGGAACTTGAACCGCGACAGCGCGAAGTCTGACGCCATCACCGCCTGCCGCCCCTCCTGACCTGACAGACCTGACACACAATGCACGGTAAATAAAACTATATAAACAGGCTTAATAATATGAGACGACATACAGGAGAATATGTAGGGTAGTGGGATAAAACATAACTTACCAATTCCAACATCGGCGGTCTGAATCATAGAGACGTCGTTGGCGCCATCACCGATCGCCAGCGTCGTCACACCCAGCTCCTCCTTCACCGCCTGGAACAAATACAATATTTTATGTTTACTAAGAAAAGGTATGGGTTAAGGGTTGTCGCTAATTTACTTTTTAAACCGAAAGAATACTATAACATGTTTTGGTCCTTCGAGTCTGGAATAAATTTATTGAATTTGCCGATACAATTGCTTCAAGGCGCATGTCACGTGTTTATTCATTATTCAGGTGTTAGGGTAGGGCAAAGTAGGGCGACTGCTCAGGGCGCCGGGCGTAAGGAGGTGTCAAAGACGGATCGCTCAGGGCGCTGGAAATGTTAAAACCGGCCCAGAAAATATTTAAGTGAAGCAAGGAAGATTTAAAGCGCCGCTTCTAAAGTGTGAATACCTTGACGATGTACGCCTTCTGCAGCGGCGTGGCGCGGCAGCAGAGCACGGCGGAGCAGCGCTTGGCGAGCGAGAGAAAGGGCGCCACGAGGCCGGAGCGCCGGTCCAGGATGTAGGTGAGCGTGCGCCCGTCCACCACCAGCGCGCGTCCGCCGCCGCCCTCCGCCAGACCGCCCTCCAGGTAGCTCTTGATCGTCGACTCCGCGTGCTCCTGCAACATTGTTACATTCTCAAATATATGTTGCTAGTCTGTCACCTGCGAATCTATCTGTTCTCCTAGACTATGTTGTACATACATGACTAATTTCAGCAAGATCCGTTTCAAAGATAACTTCTAACAAACATCTATCCATCCAAACATTCGCATTCATAATGTTTGTAAGATGTGCGTGTGTACCTTGTCTCTGGACATGAGATGCAGCAGGCGGTCGGTCTGGGAGAAGAGCGCGGCGGAGTATGCGATGTTGATGGCGGTCTCTGGCTTGTCGCCGGTGAGCACCCAGACGGCGAGGCCGGCGTCCAGCAGCGCGCGCACGGTGCGCGGCACCGCCTCCTGCAGCCGGTCCTCCACACCCGTCGCCCCCACCAGGCTCAGCGCGCTCTCCAGCCGCGCCAGGGACTCGCGGATGCGCTTCTCGCGACCTGCACGCCGCACATCACGTCTCAATAAAATTTTCTCTTAGTTATTTTAATTATCAAAATATATTTGAAAGATAAGACATTACCTTCTCCAATTTCGGAGGCGCGCGCGTGTCCCGCGAGCCACTCCTCCCAGAGCGCGGGCTGCATGGTGCGCTTGGCCATGACGAGCGTGCGCAGGCCGGCGCGCGCGTACTCCGACAG